CAAGAGGGATGTGGACAACATGGAGAGGGTCCAGAGGAGGGCCACTCGCATGATCAGGGGCAGCAGGGCAGGCCTTATGAGGAGAGGCTACGGGATCTGAACCTGTTCAGCCTCCACAAGAGAAAGCTGAGGGGGATCTAGTGGCCTGTTATAAACTAGTCAGAGGGGACCAGCAGGCACTGGGGGAGTCCCTGGTCCCCCGAGCACTGCCAAGAGTGACCAGGAATAACGGTCACAAGCTGGCAGAGGGTAGATTCAGGCTAGATATCAGGAGGCGCTACTTCACGGTCAGGGCGGCTAGGATCTGGAACCAACTTCCAGGTGAAGTGGTGCTGGCTTCTATCCTGGGGGTCATTAAGAGGAGGCTAGATGTACACCTTGCTGGGGTCGTTTGACCCCAGTACTCTTTCCTGCCATGGCAGGGGGTCGGACTAGATGATCTACTCAGGTCCCTTCCGACCCTAGAAACTATGAAACACCAGATCAGTTCTTCTTAGTAAATGGGCCTGAAGAATTGGAGCACACTGAAGTGAGAATAGACTTGATACATAAATACTAAAACGTCACCAGGACTGGCTAGCATTCACGTGAGACTTCTGAAGGAAATCAAAGGCAATAATAGGTAACCTGTTGTTACAAACAGTCTCTTTTGCCAACATAACAATCATCTTCAGAAAGGGCTCCAGAGGTGATCCAGTCTTGCTTTCATCCCTCACAAGTTGATAGAACCTAGAATAAAGAATAAAATCAGCAGTTGTGGACAAATACGATATGCTGGAAAAGAGTCAGTATGGTTTTTGTAAATGGAAATCCTACTTCACCAATCTTCTGGAGTTCTTTGGGGGTGTTAAAAACCATATGGACAAAGGGGATCCAGTTGACATAATTTATTTGATTTTCAAAAAGCTTTTGACAACATCCCTCACTAAAGGCCTTTAAAGAAACTGGGTTGCCACAGAATTGGAGGGAAGGTTCTTTCATGGATTGAGAGCTGATTAAAAGGTAGGAAGCAAGGGTTAGGGTTAAGTGGCCACTATTCTGGATGGCGGTGGGGTTGGGGGGGTCAAAAGTGGGGTCTTGCATGGATCTGTGCTGGGATCAGTTTTGTTCAGCATCTTCATGAATGACCTGGAAATGGGAGTGCACATTGAAATTTCCTAGTCTGCGGATGATACCAAACTATTCTGGGTAGTCAAATACCAAGCTGATGAAGAACAGCTGCAGAAAGAGCTCACAAACCTGAGTGGGAAAAAAAATGGCAGATGAGCATCAACATCAACAAGTGCAAGGTAAACCACCTGGGGAAAAATAAACTCAATTATATATGTATGCAATACTGGGTTCTGAATTAATTGTTATGTCTCAGGGAATAGACCTTGGAGTGACTGTAGATAGGTCTCTAAAAGCATCACGTGCAGTGGCAATCAAAAAAGCCAATAAAATGTTGGGTAACATTAAGAAACTTATTGTTATTAATAAGAAACTTATTAATAAGAAACTTATTAAACAGCAACATCCTCATGACACTCTACAAATTCACAGTGTGTCAATGTCTTGAATTCTGTGTGAAGTTCTGGTCTCCACATCTCAAAAAGGATTTAGTTGAATTAGAAAAGGTACAGAAAAGGGCAACCAAGATACTCAGGAATATGGTATGGCAGCTGCTCTATGAGGGACTAAAAAGGCTAGGACTCTTCTGTTTAGAAAGAAGGCTGAAGTGTGATATGATGGACATTTATAAAATCATGAACAGTATGGACAAAGTGAACAGGGACTTGTTATTCACCAAGTCCCAGAATACTAGAACTAGGGGACACCCACTGAAAGGAGCAGGAGATGGATTTAAAACTAACAGGAGAAAGTATCTTATATGTAATGTGTAGTTAACTTGTGGAACTCATTGCCACAAGAGGCTGTCGAGGCAGATTAGAGCTGTAGACACTCAGGCATTTTGGTGTCCAGCACAGGTCACATGCAAAGCATCCCCCTATGCGCTACTATGTAACATACTTGTTTTTGATTTAGCATTCCTCATGCAAAGGCACTCAGTGTTGGTGTACCGCTGGTGCTGTCTTTGCTGTGGTACTGAGGTGGATAGGATAGGCAGATTCAAAAGGGGACTACACAAATCCATGTATGACTAAGTATGACAGTTCTTATGTTCTTTGTACAAGCTTGAAATGTACATAATGAAGGCAGGACTGCCTAGCACAAATGTGTGTGACTGATCCCCTGCAAGGCCAGGAGTGCAGGAGATCTAAAGACAAGGAATTCAGGAATTTCTGCATGAACCTGGAACTCATCCTGCATTTTTCATTTCATTTTTTCAGACTAAGAAGGGAAAATCCTATCTGTCTCAAAGGGATCTCAGCATCATTCTGCTCAATGGGCAGTGCCTAGAGGTCAAATGTGATATCAAGTCTAAGGCAAGAGATATCTTCAGTATGGTTATGGCATATACAAATCTGCCGGAACACTTCTACTTCGGCTTAGCTTACTTGAAAGGTACCAGGAAATATCTAATTGCTACATGATCTCTTGTGACTGCATGGTGGTGGTAGGCGGTGGTATAACCCTTTGAGATTCTCAGATGGAAAGCAGTTTTGAGGCTCTCTTTCAAGCAGTAGTAAGCCACATTAATACAAATCATGCTGTACAGATATAAAGTATGTCTACACTAGAGCTGTGTACCAGTGCAACTATACCAGTGGCTGATATCCTCGTGTAGACAAGGCCTTAGGCACGGCCTTGTGTTAGAACGATGTAGAGCCACATTACTGCAGCTGGAGTTACAGGAAGGCTGTGTTTCTGGCAGGCCAAATGACATCCCAAGCTTCTTAACGTGGAGAAGTGTGATCCCAGCTTCTCCCCTTTAAAAGGCCATACTTGCTCTCTGGTCTGTTTGGTGTAGCTAGCAACCATAAGGCATGACTGATAGTGGTTCTTGTGCTCAAAGCACAAAGACTGCAATTGTGTGCAATGCATTAATCCCTTTATGATCTCCCTACCTCTTGAGCACTCACATAAGGGCTAAGCTCAATGTAGCATCACACTGGCTGTACAGAGATTTTTTTCTGCCTATTTTCAAGATTGAATTAGCAATAAATATTCTATGCCATAGAAAAAGAGCTCTCAAAAATGTGATCTGTTGTTAACTGGGCCTTTTCTTGCCCTTTCTGGACTTTGAGCTATTGAACAATCTCCTTCTGCTTAACTCATCACAGAAACTGAACTTCTGATTTCAGGTAAAGAGTTTTTCTTTCTGGATGATGAGACCAAGATCTGCAAAGTGGCTCCAGAAGGCTGGAATGACCAACCCAAGAGAAAAACTTCTATCATTAACTTCACTCTCTTTCTGAGGATAAAATTCTTTGTCAGCCACTTTAGTGTTATCCAGTAAGTGTTATGGTTCTGTCTACCACCAGAGAGGAAGGTGGTATATACTGTATTTACCCAAATCCAATATGAACTTGAATTTAGGATGACCACCCAATAATTAGATTCTATATATGGAAAAATTATAAATTAGTATAATTTTCCAGGTATAGAATCTAATTATTGGAGGGTTATCTTAAATTCCCCCTCCTTCCCACTGCTACAGCAGGAAAAGCAGTAGTTTTTGGGGGGGGGGGAGCAGGTGACCCCCTTGTTTTCTGCCTGCCACTTCTTTCCCCTGCAGCCTTCCTGCCCCTTTGCCACTTGTACTCACCTATAGCCTCTGCCTCCCTCCACTCCCCACAGTCTGTGCTCCTTCCCACCTACTCCTCAAAGTCTCTACCTTCCCCCAACCCACTTTACAATCTCTGCCCCTTTCTTCCCACTCCCCACTGTTTCTTCCCTTTCCCTCCGCCCCTTACTCTCAGATGCTGCTTGGGATCTATACTCTCCTGGGGCCATGAGAGCAGCCACACAGCAATTTCTGTGCTGCTAATTGTTTAGGCAGGGTATGGAGTTTTCCTGTACTCAGTACCCAGGAGGGAATCCAGCCTGAGCCAGAGCTGAGCTATGCCTGACAGTAAGCAGGGGGAAGGAAGAAGCAGGGGCAGAAGCTGCAGATAGCAAGTGCAGGGGAGGGGGCAGGCAGCTGCTGTGGATCTCAGGCTGACTCTGACCCATGTTCAGGGCCAGAGTCAGAGCTGCAGCAGCTGCCTGCCCCCTCTTCCCCCTACTCCCCCACCACTTCATGTTCAAATCTAAAATGGGGGGCTTTTCCCCCCTGTGCTGTTTCGGAGAAACCTCATCTTAGATTTGACTAAATATGGTAAGCTGAGATTTCAAATCTCCTATCTCATTCTTAACCTTTCATGTATTCCAGGCATGGTCTGACACGGCATCAGTTCTACCTGCAGCTTCGTAAAGATATTCTGGATGAGCGACTGTACTGCAATGATGAGATTATCCTGCAGCTAGGTGCTTTAGCATTACAGGCAGAATTTGGAAATTATTCTCCTGAGGTACAGTAAATATACAGTGAGGTACATAGCTATTCTTACAGGTCCCACCACCAGGTCAGGAAGCTTTCAGTTCCTTACAGTTAAGTTAAGAGTTAAATTTTATGTCTGCAAATATCTTTTAGTAGAGCAAGCAAGCCCAATGAGGTTCACATTTCAGATGCAGACTAGGTAATCTGAAAGTATGCTGGGGTGTAAAGCACTCTTGTATCTGTCAATTTTGGCTGGAAATCTCACAGAATGGTCCTTTTGTGAGATTCTTTATCTTTCTTACCTGTGTAGGTATCCAGGAATCTTGAATTCTATAGTACGGTACTTTCAGCCATGTATGCAACTCAGGAATATGGAGGGACTTGGAGATACAAAAAAGTAAAATGAACATTTCTGAATCCACAGAGACTCTTTGTTTGGGTTTGTAGAAATAGGCAAATATTTGGGGGTGATCTTATTTCTGAACTTGATCTCCAATCCATAAATTGAAATAAATGATGGTTTTTCCTCTACAAAAGTAGCTATGAAGGCCATGTCTTCAGCAGGTGTGTCTACTGAGACACTGACTGCGCAGTAGCCTAATAATACTGCACAGTAGCACATCACAGTAGAGACAGTGCTAATACACTACTGCAGGAGTTTTCAACCGTTTTTGAGCAGTGTACCCCTGGTGACTGGTCCATGAGTGGGCCGCGCTGGGTAGCGGCAGCTGGTTGCAGAGCTGGAGGGGGAGGGGGGCTTGGCAGCCACCCATAGAGCAGTGGCACAGTGTGGTGGATGGTGGCCATGGCGGCTGGGTGCAGGCTTCTTCCCCAGCATCCAGCTGACTGGGTGGCACCTATTCAGCCTGCAGAGGGGCGCCACTGCCCTCGCTGTGCCCCAGCCCTTTTCCTGCAAGGCGGTGGTGCAGGGTGGCAGTGCTCTGTCCCTGCCCACTTGCACGTACCCCATGGGACCTTTCAAAGTACCCAAGGGGGTACATGTACCCCCGGTTGACAACCCCTGTGCTACTGCGCAGTATTATTAGGCTACTAGTGCAGTAGCATCACTTAAAAGACGTTTGCTGGCACTACTGTGCAGTAACTCTGGTTACTGTGCATTTATTTAGTACTTGCTAATACAAGTACTAAGTAAATGTGCAGTAACCATTATGCAGTAGTGTCTCGTGTAGATACACTCAGCTAGTACAAATCGATGTAGCTCTACTGATTTAAATGGCGTTATAGAGATTTACAACACCTATGGATCTCCAGCTATAGGTTAAGAATATTGTTTTCTTTAATTTAATGTAGAAGTCAAGAGAGAAGTGAATTCGAAGTCACTGTGATAGACAGCATGTTGTATGTTACTCTGCTCTGTGATAAGTCACAGCAGATAGGAGAACAAAATGGCTGCAGCCTCTCCCATAGGAAAAGTTTTAGAATTTGAAGGTGCAGCACACAGAAAACAGCAGCATCACAGTCCCATTGCCGCACAGACTGCTCAACACAGACACCATCCCAGGCTTACATTCTGCAGTATCTTGTGCAGAACAACTGAGGAGAAGGTGGCCAAGGGAGCTTTTTTCTTTCAGCTCTCAAGAACACCTGTATAGGAGGTGTACAGAATGGGGCTGGTTTTATTAATGCAACTTGAGGCCCAGCTAATGCACAGCTACTGGTGCTCCAAGAAGAATAAATTTGGAGCCCCTTTACTGTAAATGAGCTAGCACCCAAAAGCAGGCCTATAGGGAGTGCTTTCACATTTGTACAGTGGATCTGAAGAGCCTTTCTTTTCATTCTCTCATTTGTCTTCTTCCAGCTGAATGCCTTGGAGTGCCTCTATTTGCTCTCATTGGCTTCACATCCTGTCCCCTCTAATGCACCCCCAGGAATAAAAGCCAGCTTGTTGCCTCACAGTCTTCACATTTTAGATCACCACACTTTATATTCAACAGCTCTTTAACTTCAGAGCAAACCATATTTTCAATCCTACTGCCTGTGGAACCCACCATTTTCATTCTCATTTCTCTCCTTCCTTTCTGAAGATGCATGGGAAGAACCATTTTCGTGCAGAAGACTACATCCCTGCAAGCCGAATAGAGAAAATGACCCTGGTGTATGTACAGCGAGAACTTGCTAAACTGCATCATATGACCTGCTCCCTCTTTGAAGATGAAGCTGAACTAGAGTTTCTAAGGGTATCCTATGAAATAGCAAACTTTATTTATTTACTTATTTAAGTAGTGGAAGGTCCTTGTCTGTTTACCCATCAGCCTATCATTTCCTTATTGCCTATTTGATACCACAACAAGGGCAACAGAATGACAGAATAATGGAACTGTGATGCTTTCAGGATGAGACTATCCCTGTAGTTTAGGAATATCAGTCTTTCAAAAGATATTGGCACAGACAAAACAATCATTGCAAAACTAGGACATTTAGAGTTCATGAGAGCTGACAGGAAGTTAGAAGAAAAGTCAACACCTTGCTGGGATCATTTGATCTCAGCAGTATTCCTGCCCAGAGCAGTGGGGTCGGACTTGATGATCTTTCGAGGTCCCTTCCACTCCTTGATTTCTATGATTAGGGCTGAAGAGCAAGCCATATGAGGAAAGGCTGACAGATGTGGGACTGTTCAGCCTATAAAAGAGGAGACTTCAGGGGGATTTGGTGGCAGCTTACAAATATATCGGGAGAGCATCAGGGGCTATACAAACAACTATTCACCAAAGTGCCCCAGGGGGAAACCAGTTATAAGCTCCTAGAAGAAGGTTTCAGACTGGATATAAGGAAAAACT